CCCCAAAACCCCAAAACCCCAAAACCCCTCTAGATATCTAAATAATTGAACATACTACCTTTATATCTTCGCAGTCAAATATTTTGGAGAGCAGTATGCTGAGTGGATCACTCTCTCCTTGGTGATGTCTTTTACTTCCTGACAATCTGTCAAAATCATTGATCTCTGCAGTTCACTGTTCAAGATCTTGAGGACGTCTTCGACTCCTTTCTGTCCGTCAATAGCAAGCCCCCAAAGCTGTGGTCTGCCAATGAACACAGCACTGGCTCCAAGAGCTAGTGCTTTGAGTACATCAGTGCCTCTTCTGACACCACCATCAAAGTAGACTTCGATTTTACCATCAACTCCTTGGACACATTCCTCGAGTACCTCGATGGAAGCAGGAGTGGTATCAAGTTGCCTAGCTCCGTGATTGGAGACCCAGATGGCATCAGCACCATACTCGACAGCTTTGGCAGCATCTTCTTTACATTGGATACCTTTGAGGATAATTGGGAGGGAGGTGAATTGTCTGATCTTTAAAATATCTTTCCAAGTGAATCCATTATGCTTATATTTTCTAACGTACTCATCAAGTCCTGATCCTTCTACTCCTGTCACATGAGTAGAGGTATACTTAGCAATAGTGCCCATCTTTATACCTTTTGGGAGAGAGAACTTGTTCTCAGCATCAGCCTCTCTGTTCCCAAGGATCTGGGTATCCACTGTAACAGCAAGGGCTTTGTAACCAGCCTTTTCTGCACGCTCGAAAATATCTTTGTTGACTTCATCTGATCTTGAGAAGTAGCACTGCAAGATTCTGAGATTATCCGGAGCAGCTTCAGCAACTTCCTCGACTATAAAAGAAAGATCTTAATTTAGTTCGACATAATTGCCAAATAGCTGATAGTCAATGCTTGAAATAAAAATGTAATGAAGTTGGTTGTGAGGGAAAATTAAGTCTTGCTTAAAATTTTTATACTTACGAGATCAGTTCGACCAGGTTGACAATCACTGCAATGTCTTGGTGCCAGCTGCTGCTCTTGCAGTGGCACATTCTCCCTCAGGGTTCACTAGCATGTGGAACGCTGTTGGAGCCAGACAGATAGGAGACGCTATCTTGTGGCCAAGGAATGTGGTTTCAGTGCCTTTGAATGCGTCAGCATCGCCCAAAGCTCTGGCTTTCAGCTTGATTGAGTTGAAGGCATCTCTAGTGGTGTTCTAAAGTAAGGAAATATTTATACCAGAGTGTGCTCTCCTTCGGCTCCAGACTGGTAGTAGTCATGGAACATCTTCTTGGGGTTATCTTTCGCACCCCACATACTTGTAAAAGCTTTAGAATACTTATCAACACTTGTAAACTTTGTATCCATCTTCAAAATTTAATAATAATATCTAAAAAATCCCTTTACCCATTATTCCTAACACATTTTCATCAATTTTTTCCATGTAACTCGGGGTTTTGGGGTTTTGGGGTTTTGGGGTTTTGGGG